TAAAACATGAAGTTCTGCCCTCATGCACACCAATGAAATGAAGAAGAAAGAGAAGAAAAAAACTACAAAGATTGTCTGCAGTTGTACCACATTAATACCAGTTAAAATTAAGTGCTTTTATCTCTCACATAAAAGTCAGCAGTGGAGCTTGGTTTTAAAGAGTATAGAGTGAACACATTTAGAAAGTGTTCGAGAGTAAATCCCCTGCAGTGTAACTGCAGAACAGATGCAGTACACTCATCGATGGGGGGGCTCTCTGAAACGTCCTCCGTTGAAAACCCACTGGCTGCGTTTCAAAGTCTTCATGAGCGACCGTGATGTTGACACAGCTTCTCATTAGTGATGCCTTGTTATAAATAAACAGCAAAGCCATTACAAACAGCACATGAGATCAGCCTACACAGGCCTTTCAATGAATTTTAATTGGGGAGCTCAGAGATCACAGAATGATCTTTTCCAGCGCTGAATCGCATCAGTATCCAACTGAGGTCTTTGCATGCAGTGCAGTTATTCAGTGATTTAAACCCTGGCAGTGTCTGTAATGTTTGTAGAAGGAGAAATAGAGACAGAGAATGGGAGAAGAGGAAGAAGGATGAAGCACAAGGTATCAGAGAGGTGAAAGTTTGGACTGTGGAGAGGTTATGGCTACAGGTCACCGCTGTCGGTCTGATGAGAGGCAGAGCATGACCGACCATAATGCTAACATTGATCAGCAGCTGATTGTATTCAAGTGTCTGTGTGAGATGTGCTTGAGTTCTTGTTTACATGTCCTTCACACACTCCATTCACACACAAACACAGACAGGCACAGACACACAGATGCAAACCTTGCATACAGGCATTAACATTCGCAGGGGGAGAAACACAGAGTGGCATTCCATATTGATGTCTGCTTAGTATGTATAGATATGTGTTAACACATGACCCGTCCTCAGGCTACCTCCGTCTCTGCAGACCTGAAGAAGAGGTTAGGTCAATGATATAGTGTGTGTGTGTGTGTGTGTTAACTTACGTGTCTGAGCCATAAGTTTGTTTCCATGATCTGATTCACCTCATCCTGCAGACACACAGGGAAGAAAGGGCATGTGCTTGTTAGCCTGCAGAACCCTATGTTAAAAAGCAAAGCGTTAAAAAAAAGAAAATACAGACAGGAATACGAATTAAAGAAATAGAATTCATCCTCTAATCTTTGTCCTCTTCAGCTGGAGCCAACGAACTGAAAAGGTCGACCGTGAGCGAGTTAATAATAGATGGTTGCAGATGTCACTTTCTCTCCACCTTTCCCCCATGACCCTTATTCAGTTTTGATTTGCAGTGCTGTGATATTTTGAGGCTTCCACATGACGCACATTGGCCACGTAGACTATGCACAAGCAGAAAACGTGCGCAGACACACACATGGCGACACATGCATTGAACGCATCCACACGAGCATATGTACACACTTTAACCTTTAGATTAATCTCACCTTGCCGAGCAGGCAGACCGAGCAACATATCAGTCCATTCTGAAAAGCGCTCCTGCAGGCAATTTTCTCTTAATCTGAGGATTTCCATTCAGAGCTGAAAACCTCTTTTCACTGGGGGATACGCAGCAACAACACACACATACACATACACACACATTACCCCACCCCGTCCCCCAGTTGTGTTAGACTTAATACTGCCAAAGCAAAACAGCAGCGTATAACACAACTGGGTGCCGTTTTAAGGAAACTGAGCCGACTAAATAAAGACTGTAAATGTCTTTTGTGTTCACTTCCCGTTTTCACTCGTCTCGTTCCGCGGCTTATCTTTTAGCTTCTCTGTTTTCAAAGGTAGGAAATGTGATAAAGACGCTCATGGGAACACGTCTCACTGTCAACACAGGATCTCAAATACTGTTGAGACACAATGATCATTTTATAACATGGCGTAAAAATGTGAATGGAAGTATGGAGAAATATAACGTCAAAACATGGCAGCATGTTGAAAAAATGTTGTCTTCAGGTGTGTGTGTGTGTGTTTGTGTGTTTGTGTGTGTGTGTGTGTGTGTGTGTTTGGGATGAGCTTACAACTTTGACCAGCTGCGAGATGGAAACCTCAAACTCCACAGTGACGGGGTCGGAGACGTTCTCCACCGGTCTGATGAACTGGTTGTATCTTCTGAACAGTTTCTTGAACAGTCGGTCCTCTGCCTTGGATGAGAAGCAGTCTGAAGAGGGCAGAGGAATAATCAGCAAAATTCAGTAGTAGTTTAACTGTCCAAGTCATCCACATCATCCAAGTCAGTTCTAATCATCTCCCGTCATCCTACAAAGAACATAAATGAGAAACTGGGAGAAAAATAGACATCGGCCTCGTCTCATTTTGACGCAACGTCCCTTCAATAAGTCCTTTGAGTTTGTGGATTAAATGATTTATGATTTTTGATTAAATCATCTTTAAAGAGGTCTCTTTAGATCAGAGTTTCTTTGCTTAGTTCATCAGAGTCGACTTTGAACAAGTCTGTGGCATGAGATAACTTTTAGGGGGTTTCTCTGTGAATTCTCTGGTTTAATTAGAGCAAGAGAATTGTTTTCTTACAGAAGGCCAGAGTAGCCATGTCCATTCTGAATGATATGTCTGTATCAGCAGTAGTGTGTTTCCTTATTACCGCTCTCACAGGGGAAATGAGAAAAAGGAAAGGCTCATCGCTCCATCTGAGGCACTGTTGCCTCACACTGTCCTTTCACCCTGAGCTGAGTGACATGACGTCTTTCAGTCTCACCACTTCATTTGATTTCAATTTCAGTTCAGTTACCCATGAGACCTCTGTCATTAAGTCCTGTTTCCTGACCTGCCTTCTAGAGTGGAACTGACTGATGGCTCTGTAGACCTGCTACTGCTCTTAAGATCTCCAAGTTATTCACCATTCACCACCACAGTAACATTTCATGATTACAGATGTATAACTAGTGTTGCGATTGTGAACGATCCATTTATTTTAGATTGGCTCTTTGGTAGGAACAAAGGGAACCGAGTCATACGTGAGAGATGTTTGTGCCGAAGTTCCAACCACTGCCTGCTTTCCATAAATAAAATCCATGTGAGTAATGATCCTCCCCTTTACGTGGACAGTGAGAACATTCTCATCTGTATATGTGCAGCTATTTAACATAATCAGCAAGTGTTTGTGATCACTTTTAAACCCAAGACGGTCTTTTGTTTGTGAGCTGATGTTAAATGTGAAAGTGTTTTGTGGTTGCCTGCTATAAGGAAACTTTATAATGAGTTCTAACTGTATAAATGGGAGAGTTTGCATGAAATCATAGTTATCTGGTGGACTCCATATTGAATGCTGCCAAAGCCCATGCTTCCTTCTCGTGTCTGCTCTGTGTGTCTGCTCTGTGTGTGTGTGTGTGTGTGTGTGTGTGTGGTTCACTGACAAAGCACAGGGATATGGCATCACCTTGCGTAATGGTTACAATGGGGATCATTATCATTAGGTCTGGCAATACCAGTAATTTAGCGCAGCTAAACCACACATGCAAGAAGAAATTATACTGGTGGTATATCTAGTTTGTATCTGATCCAAATCTAGAAACGGAGCCATTAGATCCAGATCCCTTCAAAGAGCTATAATTCCGATCACTATTAGGAAACAAATATTAAACCTAAAATTCTCATTCCCATTACGAGTACATTTTTGTCAATAGTTGTTTTTAAACAAAGCCAAATAGCTCATCTTGTACCTAAACCATCGTGACAAATACCACTGAAGCCATGAGCTTCAATACCACTAAAATATCTTTGGTAACAAATGAGTACGATTTTTCTTTAGCAGAGCATTATAAGCATCATTGTATTGGGTACATTCATTTGTACAACATGTACTTTACACTGACAATATGTCCAATCATTTTCTATTATTGGTCCATTCTGCCTCAAGGCCATGATTAACTCTTTGATGGAGACTGTAAGCTTTGAGAAGAGATTCAGTCCAACATGGAGGCAAAGGGTTTATCAGTTCAGTCCAAACACTCATTGTCATAATGAGAAATCATTGTATCTGACCTGAATTTGTGCATTTATTAGGTGGAGTATCACATTAAAAGGTTGTACTGTCTGCTTGTTTCAGTAACATTATAGGCAGGTGGTATATTACCATATCCAAGACATCCCAGAATAGAATCTCATTTAATTCAAATCAAATGCAATGTTTAAATGGAGATGAATCACTGTGACAAGCAAGTCTTCTTCTCGTCTTCTGACTAATGGTAAATACAGAGAGGTAGGAGTTGGCAGTTATAGGGATTCACCCTATGTGAACATGATTTATATTAATTTACCTAAATATAGGTGCTTGGCTAGACTGCAGCTTAAGTGTTGTGTTCATAGCCAGCATATTAAGGGCCTTATTTACTAATTATCAAGGAAGGAAAGGAGAAGACCCGAGGCACGATATGAGCATGTCTGCCTGAACAATGTACGACAAGCTATTTTAACCCACTGCAGAGGAGTCGCAGCCTGAGGACGGGAGGAGACGTGCTGAAAGTTCTTCCTGTAGCAAATTCTCAATGATATTTAAATACACAGAGGTCTTCTAAGTGATTAAATACTGAATGTTAATGTCACAAAGCAAATGTTTTTAATTGTATTTATTTGTTGATTTGATAGGGACAATGCTCACTGATGTTAATTAATATATATATAATGATTATAAAAACACAAATAGAGAAAAGGACAAAACACATTACACTCAAACTAATTAAAGGTCACACTTCTATTATGGAATAATGCCTTGTATATGCGCAGTCAGCACCATGGTTGAGTATTTTCACCTTAAGAGCACGGTCACACAAACATGAATGCAGGCGAATGATAAGTGCCCGCAAATTACATATCATCGCTTGCTGAATGTGGTCAATGCAGAATGTGACAGCAATGATAGCCAAGTAGGGCTATGTGAAAAGCCCACTCAATGCCAGGAAAGGTGGGTCTGGATATTTAGATCCGGGAGATAGAGTTCCTATCTTAAAATGCTTTAGGGATGTCACACAGAGACCTTACTTGTTCCTCATCACCTCCTATAAATATCTACACCACATCTTGATGGAGGGAAGGAGAGGCAACACAAAAATGGACAAAGCATTAAACAACTAAAGAATAAGGACAAGAATGAGATCAAGCAGTGAGACAAAGACGTCTGCCATTCAAAAGAACTTTGGAGAACAAATGTCACCTGAGACTCCAGTAGGTTTCTTTGTTACTTTTCCCCTAAACTTAGTTTTTTTAGAAATTCAGTCTTGAGGAAAAACAGTCAAATTAAGTTTGGGACAGATGAGTAAAAATCCTTTAATTAATATGGACTTCTTTGGAGAAGGATGATGAAACATTGCTGACCCTATTACATCAAGATCCCTCCCTCAAAGGAAGGAGATAACCCTCTTCATGCAGACAGCAGAGACACCAGAAACCCAGATGGTGCTGAACTCCTGGTGACAGCCCTCTGGAGGAAAACGACGTGAAAAAACACACTCACCAAGACAAGGAGAGGACAAGAGACGAGAGGAGAAGAAGCAGAGATGGGTTGAAAGCAAAGCCTTCTTAAGATGTCACTCAGATCTCTGTCTGGTAGCTGCCTAGCATGTGCTAATGCTATGCTAAATAGACTTTGAATGAAGCGTTGAACCGAACACTTTGCATCTGATCCGTTTCAAAACACAACGTTGCCAGTAGCTTTTTTTCTTAAACCCGCAAGAAATAAAGTAGACTAGAAAAGAAGAAGATTTTCTTTCCAAAGATGAAAAGGTGGAGGTATTGGAGGGACTGAAATGAATGGACACAGTGCTTCATCTATTTGTTAGTGTAATTACAGAGGCAGAGACGATGTCCTCTGATGGAAACCAGGCCTTTGATTAAACACACACACACACACACACACACACACACGTGCACATGGGAATACGTGCATTTGACATGGTCAGATGCCTTGAACACTGAGAGTCATAAAAGAACCAATTATGATAGAAAATGAGCCACAGGTTCCACCCACTTTCGTGCTCTCTCTCTCTCTGGAGGCTCTCATCATGCTGGGATTAACATATTACAATGGTAGAAAGGTGAAGGGGGTAAAAGTGGAGGGACCACAGAGAGAAATATAGTTAAACCTCAGCAGTGGTGAAAAACACAAGATTCACAAAAGCCTGTGATGATGTAAAATGATTCATTACTACAAATGCATCTTGCTGCCCTGATGAATAAAGGGGCAAACTAAATAGTTTGTCAGTTCACTGAACTGTTTCTGAATGCAGTGAAAGTCCAATCACATCTCAGCAACTTTAACTAAGCACAGCTAGTCTGTCTGTCAAGCTTTGGATTTTCTCCACATTGAAGGGATGCACATGCTGCTGTCATAGGAGCAGCACAATTGCAAAATGTGAGGAACAAAGATTAAATTAATTAATAAGCTTGCTAGCAAAAGTAAAACATGAGACCGAGGCAGTTTTCATTTCAACTGACAGTGTATCTGATTGGAAATTTGCCAACTATGACAAAAAGAGCCAACATCTAATTAACTGACATTGCACTCACCACACTACTTCCTGAAATCATGTCAACATCACTTCAAAGAAGTTGGAGCAAGAAACACAAGCAGCCAGATAAGAGACCTTTTAAACAGATATGTTAACTGGTCATAAAAGCAACAGCAACACTAGCTCTGTTATTTACAACAGGGCTTGTCCTCCTGTTATGTAATGTTTTCTGTGAAATAATATCTTTATATATTATTTTTTTTATTGTGGGTGGAATTTAAAACTTCCAGTGTTGAACTTTGTGGTTCAGTAAATTATGCCACAGTTACAACTCACAGTTATGGTTGTAAATATTTACTAATGCCTAGGTACTAACTAGTTTGTGTGTTGCAGACTGTTTTAATTTTGTATTGTCACACATCCCAACTAATGTATTTATAAATTTGAGGTATAGCTGGTGTAAATGTCTTTCTGCTGTCGGCCCAAACTCTGACTGATTTTGTTTTGGCAACCATTTAGAAGCTGTGATCCTTCTTTGTGATGGAGGTTTTCTGGAAGCTGGTTAAAGGAGAACTCAGGCAGCAGCTGATGTCTTATACAGAAAAGTTTAATGTAGACTTCATGCATCAGGGAAACCAGAAGGTGGAACAATATACATGTTACATGTAGGTGTTTGCATCCTTTTGGATAGATAAGTCTTAGTCATCATTGTTTTTTGTTTTTTTTTCATCCAATAAAACCTGTAAAACTAATGATATTTCAGCCTTAGTTAAACTTAGGCTCAGCATGCAAACACTCTAAAGATGGTGAACATCATCATTTTAGCACAGTCATAATCTGCTTTCAGACATGCACTCAACTCCAGATAATCTCCTGACATTCTCTGGAGGGGCTGTGTGTGAGAATGCAAATGTCCGAGGGGGCGCCTCCTGCTGCATCCTTCACATGTGAAAGTCCAGGCCCAGTTGTGCCGACATATTTTGCAGTTCATGTACAAAAGTGATGACATAGTATAGACATAGTATTTAGCTTGAAGCTATTAGCTCCTCAGAGCCAAGGGCACTTTCATGGCCGCAGGCTGTAGGTACTGTGTATTATTGGCTGACATTACATCTCTGACAGAACTTTCTTACAAATGAATTGAGCCAGCTACAGTTAATGTTAGAGGAAAGACAAGGATTCCTGATTACAGTAACATCAGCAGCATGTATGCTTAATGCACTCACAAGCACAGTATCAATTATTCAAGTACAAGTGCAGAATCAGTCAAAACTCACTTAGAAAGCAAGTTACTGCAAACATGCAGCAGATCCCGTGAGATACTTAATGCACCAGGACATGAGGGTTGGAGGTCATCCTCTATACTGTTAAAAATATTCAGGGATGACTGTCATCAAGGAGGATGATTGAGAGTGAGTGTGGGGAGGAAGCAGGGGAGGAGTGAAGGACAGATAATGAGCGACTGAGAAGAGGAGACTATTTCATGGGGCTGTTTGAGAGGATACTGTAAAAGCCATTTAGCTCTCATTCTCCCTGGAGAAGGCAAATGCTTTTAAAGGAGAGTGTGAGAGAGAGATAGAGAGGAAGACGACGAAAGAGCTGGTGAAAGAAAAAGTGTGTCTTCTCTTTTAGATCTTTATGTGTAATGCTCACATGGTAAACACTGTATAAAGGAATAATTGCTGAGCCACTTGGCTGGTACTTCTGCTTTTCTAACAGTGGAGTTCAGCTGGAATGACTGGAAGGGACGGAGAGAGAGAGAGAGTGAGCAGAAAGGACAGAGATAAACCTGAGTAAATTAAGGTAGAAAGATGATGACAGCAACAGAATCTGACAGACAGGCAGGTGCAAAGAGCCAGAGACGATAGGGTGCTATGTGTGTGTGTGTGTGTGTGTGTGTGTGTGTGTGTGTGTGTGTGTGTTTCATGTTTGTTTTCTCACTACAACGGAATTCTTTCAAAACCTGGTAACAACTTTCGTTCTTTACTCTTTTATTTGCCTTTGGTCTCATTCTTTCTTTGTGTCAGCCGAGATATTCACTAATACATGACCAATATAACTCTATTAAAAGCCATGTGACATTCACACACGACTGCACCCGTATCTGTGTGCCCGCACATTTTCTCGCAGAAAGAAAATGAACTTCTTTCACCTTCAAGATGAGCAGATCAAATAGAAATTCCACATCATTCCCTTAAGGCGCTCTCCCTAAAAAGTGGGTTACATGAATATAAATATGATTCATGTGAGAGAATCTTTGAGCCTTTTATAGTCCAATAGCTCAACAATGGGTTTTTTCGTGAGGAAATTAACATTTTGTACTGATTGGGTATGAACACAAATAATAAAATGGTTGTATACTTTACTCAGTGCTTTGGGGAAATGTTACCTTGCACCATCCAGAGTGAGACATTTAAGCTGCATTGATGTGTCTTTTTTTAAAACAGTTGTGGTGTTGTGTTGGAGTCAGTTTCAGAAGAAGTCCTCCTGTGTGGGCATGCGTGATGAAAGCCTAAAATACTACTCTGATGATGAGTGACTAATGTGTTTTTCATGGAAATTAAGAATATGCTCTCACAGTAGAGGAATTCTGGTGACACTGTGAAATCTAGTGAGCAGGTTTTGTCTTGAGGAAAACAGGTGGATGATGACGCTGTTGTGAGGTGAACGCCACAGTGCGAGGTTCTTCTCAACTCATTTATCTGTGACTCAGTTCATGTTTCGCCACGCCCCCTCGGCTCTGTGTTCTGCTCTATAAATGTTACTGTGATATAAGCCGAGGTTACCTCAGCTACGAGCACACACACACACACACACACACACACACACACACACACCTCATCACCACAGCTCACTGACCGGATCATCAGTCATGCATTCAAATTAAGAGAGCAGCCTGTATCTGAACACAAGGAACAACATTGTGAAATACCTACAGGCTGAAATAGCACATTAGTAGTAGCACATTAAAAAATGCTAGAAGCAAAATGTGTTTACACCACGTAAGTGTGTATCTTCATATATTTTCCTGTTTTCTGTTGGCTGACCACGCACAGCCACACGGTCAAAGATGAACGATAGTGAAGTACGACCTGTGTGGGCTGGAGATGGCACCAGAGTGGGAAATGCATCCTTGAATTTGTCTGTCGTGGAACGAAGTAATGTGACTCTACCTCGCATTATCGACCAGTGTGTGTTAGCCTATGCTCACGTTGTGTAGTTAATGCAATGTTGACCCCCCCCCCCAAAAAAAAATGTTCTGCTTGTTTTTATAGTTCTAATCTGCTTTGAAGGATAAGTGATTGCTACCACAGTCATATCACCTAATGTCTTCTTAAATTCACATGGTGTGATAGATTTACTTTGCACAGAGGTCATGGGGGGTGGTCCAGGTGAACAAAGCAGGGTTCTAACACTTTTACATGAATTTGATGTCTTGCATCCTAGTTGCTGTTAGTTTAAGTGTTCTTAATATTTGTGCTTGCACCATTTAACCGAGATGCCTCTGAATCACCTAAATATAAGTGTTAATTAGGTTAAGATAAGTCCAGGATGAACATTACATGTGATTGTGTGTGTGTGCGTGATCTCAAACTTTTAGATGTACTTTGATGTGACACCTGTAAAACAATCAATAGTCTGAATGTGCTCGGAGATGTTTGTAAATTTCACCATGATTTGTGAATGTGATTATTATATGATTATATGAATCCCTTTCACCTTTGCAATGTCTTTTCAAGTACAGCTCTGATTTGACATGACTCAAATTCAGGTCCACAACTTACTAAGGTTTAAAAAATGGTTGAAGTACAAACTTGGTTTCATATACGGCTCTGAAAATGTAAAAGACAGACAAACAGAGAGAGAGAAAACACAGACACCTCCCAGCCCAGAGGGTCATGCATGGAATGAGGATGTGTGTGGAGGCTGATAAACCATAAAAGAGCCTATCTCCAACCTTGCATAAATCAGATAGCTGCTATATTTGTGCCCTTGGAGCAAATGTTTACGTGAATGCTTTGAAATGCCGCAGCATAATTACCCTGCATCTCCTCCACACTGTTGCTGCAGGTCACTTGGTATATTTCAATAATAATAAATCAATCCTCTCTCCAATCCCTTCCTTCCTACCATCTTTGCTCCCTCTCTCATTTCCTTCCTTCTCTTATGTCCTTCTTTTCTTCCTTCCTCCCTCCTCCTCTTTCTCCCCCATCCAATCAGGGCCATCTGATTTTAAAGGTCTCCAGACTAACCTGCTCTCTTTCTTTCCTGCTCTTCACCTGTCAATACATTATTAATGTTGATTCAGATCCACTCAAAACACAGCTTGTAACCTTAAGACACCCCAATTTAAATACCAGAATAAACACATCAAAGAGAAGTCAACACAACTTTTTTATTAATGCAATAATCAGACTTATTCAAGACGCACATTTCCGGAAAAGGGTTTTTTATCAGTTGCCTCCAGGCGGCCAATCCCCCCTGACTGAAAACCTCCTATCTTTTCCTTCTGCCTGAGTAAAGCACAGGCCGCGCGTAACTCTGTCACTGAACAGGGGAACACATCCTGTAAACAAATTTATATCTGTTTTGGTTTCCTCGCCTCAAAACGAAATTTGCATTCATCAAAATTAAATGACTTCGTCCCGGATCGTTGTTGCCTTACATTTTATTTGCGTGGCGAACAACGTTGCAGCAGTGAATTCCTGAGGCTGAAATTCACAGTTGGGCGTCAAATCTTTTGGACTTTGTTTCGGGTTTGTCCTTCCAGAAATAACGAACCTGCAAAAAGTTAAGAGACGTATATGCCTATAGAGAGCTTCTTTAGCTTTTACGCACGGGGCAGAAACTCCTACGACTTCTCACAGCTAAACGAATCCGACAAACTTGCGGATAAAAAACCTTATAGTGAACCATCACAAAATCTCGATGTCGCATGTGCCGACACTGACGCGAAAATCTCACACCTTCTAAACCCAGGGATTAAAATACTCATCACACGTCTCCAAAAGCATCAAGAGGAAAGGATTAATAACTCTTTCTGGATAAATCCTTCTTACCTTGCGTTAACAAAACCACTAGAAGAAGCAGCAAAGTCCGTCTGGCCGCCGGCTGCATGTCTCCCCCGTGTCGTTTGGGGATCCCCTGCACGTTTGCTTTCTCTCCCTGGAGAAACGCTGTGTCTTAAATCGATAGAAAAAATGATGTCAAACGCCACAAAAAACCGTCTCTCCCCCGGCACCGTCTGTCTCGCTCTGCCGGTGCGCTCCTTCCTGATCTGATCCGAACTTGCCTTGGCTCGTCTCCTCCCCTATGAGCGCAGAGCTCCTCTCCGGCGCATCCACACGGACTTCACACACTGGGAGGGAAGAAAAAAACCTGCCGGCTCACACTGGGGCACTGACGGACAATAATGTGAATCAGTGGCAGGAACAGAGGGTATGTGCTTTATGAGAATATGAGTCTAAAATCAGGAGAATTGTTTTGACACTGACGTCTGTAAGTGTGTGTGTGTGTGTGTGTGTGTTATAAACACTTGTGACTGTATTATATCACATCAGTAATCAGTAGTTGCTTCTCTGTCCGTGTATCAGTTCATGTATTCACATACATTTGCGCTGTGATGAACATTGTGCAGCCTGAGTTGTCTTAGACGATTCCAGCACCACGGACAGCATCACTGAGTTTCAATGAGCGCTGTCCATGGTGCTGAAGCGATCTGCCCACTACTTCGTATAAAGGAGCATTTCACTCTTTATCAGGACTTTGTATGTTTTTGTTGCGCTGGAAAGTTAAGTGCATCTGTCTGTAACCACATGGTTTCGTGTCCTGGTACTTAGACCGTGTAGTGCAGCGTGCTGTGTCGTGTCCCAGCCACTAAACTGCAGCACTGCGCTGTGGCAGCTCCTGCGCTGAGGAGGAAAGTTTGCCCGTTTCTGCCTCATTGAGACGCGCCGCTCGTGTGATGAGCTCCCTGGGTGCCTGTTTACCAGCCTCCGGATCGCGCTGATTAAGTTTAATTTTAGCCCGTCATTTTCCACGCTTGGTTTGACGTCATCAAGCGAAGTAATTAGGATGGCAGGGCTGTGCCGATCTGAGCTGAACCGAGACTGAATGACTGAAGAATGCGAGGGAGAGAGACTGATTTTCCTTCTACATCTAATCCCACTAACACATGTATATACAATCGTCAGTCAACATGCTGATAAACTGGGAATGAGTCTTTGGCTTCTTGAAGTAAAGTAAAAGCGTTGGCTCCATAGCACCATGTTAAACTGTTTATATTTGCGTTAGTGAATAGTTTCATGTCATGTCATTTAATGAATTACTCCCACAAACAGGGGCAGAATATGACACAATGGGGCAACCAGGCAATGAGACTAAAAAACACTGTTGTCTGCCTATAGCCTAATATTCATGTTCCCTCATCATACTTAAGAATTAAATGTAACAGAAAGCCACCAACTAAGAAATATGTGACATTGGTTCTATCTTGAAGCAGAGCTATTCTTCTGGAATACATATAAATAGTTCTACTTATTTGAATGTGTCATTTATTGTGGCCAAACTAAGCCTCATGCAACTATATTATGGAAGACATGGATATAAAACAGAGTAATTACATCATTATTTTCTACCAGGACAGACCACTCCTCCATCATCCCATAATGAGCTCAACTGTTCACGTAATCACGCAGACTACTTTTTCAAATTATCTTTGCGCTGACTAATAAATTGAAGTCTGCAACTAAAGCAGTGTTGTTCATTTAAGGATTAGAGGCACAAGACAATCTGCAGAGAAATAACTGGAGAAATAGATTTATAAGTATTCTTCAGTGTGTTTAAATAACACAATAACATTTGTCAAATATTTATAGGTGTTATGTAAGTATGAAGTATTTTAATTTGATCAAAATTGTTTTTTGCGGTTATTGGACACAGTTTATTGAAAGCAAAAGCAACTAACCCCTGATCCACAGTGCCACATATCCAAACAGTTCAGTTTAATGTAATATCACCTTTTGAATTTTTAAAGTCTGCAATGAAAAACCTGCGTGATGAGCTGTGTATGAAATGTTGCAATATTTAAATGAAGCAGATAAACTAATGGTGTTTTCTGCCTCAGGGGAAAGTCTCACCAGATGTGGCATATGGGATGTAAATATAAAGGTGAGTGTGTTTGTGTACCCTGGTGCTTACATGCACACTGTATGTCACGACCACCCTTTCAGCCTCTGGCCGTCTCACTCAGGATAAACACAATCCACCTTCAACACAATGTCTGAGAGTTGTCACAACAAATAGTATCCCATCATTTGAACATCACAATATTGTGAAATCTTCTTCTTTTGTCTGTAGTTGTTGGAAGAGGTCTGTCACCGCAGACAAGCACTGGATACAATGACATATGAGGAAAAGCAGAATAAGCACAACAACGTAGATAATGTGGTTTTGCTGTTGCCGGTGTTGCCATCTGAGAAGTGGGGAGCCCACTGTGTGGCGTCATGACACGCTTGTCTTCACCAGCCTCATCAGTGAAGTGCTTCAGTAGAGGAACTAGGTGGGAATCAATGTTTCTGCCAGGATTGTTTAAGGTGATGCACCACAGCCTGTCCCTGCTGCTCTGTCCTGGGCAATGTTTAATTCATTGGGGTTTTTTTGTAAAAGCTGGATGCACTGACTCCAAAAGCCATTAGTGTCATCTTCTTTTCTGTCCATTCTCACTTTGGTCGTCATCCCAAACAATACATCAACTTTCTTTATCAATCAGTCACTATCATCCTTGTCTTTACCTTCTATTGCTTTAGTTCCTCTTCGTGTGCTTTCATTCAGAGAATGGTTCCCTCCCTGTACCTGCTCGCGAGTTCATACAATGCACACTGGTGCCATCTCTCTGCCTTGAGTGAAACACAACACATAAAAATATCTACCTCCCTCGCTAGAACTTTTAGACCATCCTGAATTATTCACATCCACATATCTGCACCACATCCCCTGACCCTGATGGAAGTGCTTTTATTTTCAACCCTAAGTAATGAAATCTGGATGGCCCTTCTTTTTTTTTCTCACTGGCATGATTGTCTCACTGAGGAGGGTTTAATGGAGCGCAGGTGATCTGAGGCTTCTGGAAGCTTCCAGCAGGCAGGGATGTGGATATCATGTAGAGAAATAGTAGTATAGTCTGGTAGAGTAAAGAGGTCAGGGTTACAATATAGATGGAGAAGAGGGGGGGATTTTTAGAGGTTTACTGCTGTATCCAGGTTATCACATCAATCAGACTCACCAGACAGCTGTCCTCTTTGAAAATGATTGTAGCCTGATGCTACACATGACACAAGTTTATTATATCATGGAGGTAAGAGCACATATGGTTGATCAAATAATGTTTGAAAAATCGTCCCCCCCCCATTGAGGGGCATAAATCATCCAAGACAAAGAGTGCATCAGGATATTATACCTAATAATAATGATGCTGTGCGCCGAGGTCCAGATGTCCTCTCACATGAGTGATCCTGCCAACAACGTCATGTTTGTGGAGGCAATTTCAGTTTAACAAAGTCAATGCTGGTCTTTCTGTAATTAAAATCAACATCTGCAGATTGATTCATTCAAATACATGATATGCAAGAATAAGGACAAGGAAAAGGGAATATCATGGCTTTAATATTATCTGGTGAGGTAACATTAATCCAACACAAGCTGAGTTACATGCTGCTTACACCCTGAGACATCCTGCGTTCTGTCCTTGGACGTGCTGCATTCTTACGTATCACACTAAGATCTGTAAGTTGGATTTGGTCACATTAATTCAGCAGAATACATATAATCTATCCATTTCTAATAAAGCAATTAATCTACCAGTTTATTAGGTAGATGTTGCTATAGTTTATCCGATGCAGTCTAATGAGGTTACGTAAAAGTTCTGATCTCTGTGCTCCACCAGATCATTCTTTCTTCTGATCCAATCACAACCTGACATGTTCCCTTGAGCCTCAAGGCTTGAGCTGTTTACCTGTAAACTGTCTTGTGTTTAAAACGTCCTCCCTCCTTACTGTCTTTCAGTTCAGTTCAGTACTGTGATCAATGCCGTGACCCACCTCCACCCCTGCATCACCTCAACTCCGGTTCATCTCCCTTAAGCATCCAACCAGAAGCCCTTCATCAGACATCCCATCTTCTTGATCCAATCCTCATCATCATCGCCAGAGTCTAAGGTCTTCTCCGTATCCAAAGCACCTAATTCATAGGACTGCTTCTGTGGTGTGCTACTTCCCACTGGGGTCTTAGTACCAAAGTCTATCTCAACACAGTCTCAGCAAAATGAAAACTCTCAGAGAGGTGGGATTTATCACAGGACTTAAAACTGTGATCTTGAAGATTTTCATTAAATCAAACCCCGTTTTTTTATACTGTTTATGGTCAGCATATCTTTTCCTGCAGCAGATACTGAAATTTATATTCAATTCATATTCACTGATTGTCTCTCTATACAGTAATTGTAATTATTAGTGGTGGCGGTGCTAGGGAAAACCCCTGAAACTCAAACACTTCACCCATCCCCTCCATCGGCATAGTGGTGAGTAGTTAATAAGTTCATTTTCATTTTGGGGTGAACTATCCCTTTAATTTGCTGTTAATGCAAATAGAGCACCACTACTGCTGTTGCTTCACATTTATTCCCTTCAACTGATTTCACTATATCTTGGTAGTGTGGAGAGAACCAGTGCAGATTTTGGTTCTTTTTTTAAAATTAAAATGGCGCAAACAGGCTTTGGCTGCACTCTGTTGTATTTCTGAAAAAGCAGCTATTCCATGACCTGCATCTGCTTTCAGGGCAGTAACAACAAATCACTCAGAACTGGAGTCTGAGTGGTAATAGAAGAAGGTCTTCAGATGCAGACGCAGAGAAGGATTTATGAATAGCTGCTGCGACCCCGGCCTGTCATCCATAGGTAGTAATTCTTTGTCCTGCCTGCTGACATCCTTCTGGTTGAGGTCAGCATTATGTAGTAAAACACATTTCAAAGACAGTTTCTTTGCCTTTTTTTCTAAAGTTCATAATTTAAATGATTGAGGGTTCTCCTCGAGAGCTGGTGAATAATTACAGGTCTGTGTTTGTTGCCCTAGATGAGAATGAATCGCTGACAGTAAACGAAATCTTACTTCCTGTGATAGCGTTAATAAAAAATAGTTGTTAAATTAACTGTAATGGCTGAAATGAATTGTTGAGGTATAGTGGATAAATACTTGCCTGGGGGATACTTGAGGAAGACACAGAACTTGAAATTATGTTATGAAATGTTATTTCTTCATTTCTATTC